TTATATATTTTTCATGAAAATTAATACTAAAACTTACTCAAAAACACAACATTTTAAGTAACAAAAGCAAGTAAAATTTACACCTATCAGTTTACTTTTGTTATTGTCCGTCTATCATACTTATAGGTGCATATCATTTCATGTTTTATATATTTTTAGAAAAATCGATGTCGTAATTATGAAAATTAATTGGAATTGAATTTTATCTGTCACAAATTCTAAAATTTATGAATGTATATATCTTAAGTTGACTTTTAAAAACGTTACTGAAAAAGATTAAGAAGGGTTAACGATATTTGGACAGTAAGCTTTTAAAAATATTAAATGTCTCTAGAAAAAAATTATTATTTTTATTCCTCTAAATTTTAAATATATCTTTTAGGTCTTCGTAATAATACCAATGGAACAAAAGTTAATATGAATGTTCTTTTACAGTATAGGATACCAATCAGAACACATTGTTTTTACTTTATCCATATAAATTTATAGTTATTAAGTCATTAATTGTATAAGAGTGTTGTTAGTGTGTTATGGTAAAGTGTTGGTTGGTAAAGAAGAAAAAATGATTTTTTAAAATATATTTGAAAGTAATGATTATTTTTTGTAATTATTAGGTAAAAGGATTAGTGTCAGATCTCGGAAAACCCTACCTGTCTTATCTTATTAAAATGCACCCAAATCTCCTGTCAGAGTCATTTAAAACGCACCCAAAACCTCTGCACGGACGTCAGGTGTCAAGCAGCGAAGATTCGAAAATCAGATAGTGGACGGCAGGTGTCAACGAGTGAGCGGACGTTCATTTTAACGAGAGAAGCAAAACCTGATTTTCTGAAAAACCTGTTTCACTCACTCTGCATGCACCTTCTTCCCCACAGAACTCTGAACTTTCCATCTTCTCCTCCTTCTCACTATAAACTCTATCTTCTCTCTAAGAAAACTAACCTTTTCTCTTCTCTGATCATCATTCAGAGATCGTAGAAGCATTCCCGGAGTCTCAAGCTTCACTTTGAACCGAACAGTTCTTGATTCTGAAACTGGTAAGTTTCTCGTCTTTATCTGTTCGTCCGTATGAACATGCAAGCCAAGCTCTGGTTGCATGCAGTCACCTTATCTGAACCAATCTTGGTTTTCTGTAACTTGTTTTAGTTGAAGAGTTTGGTTGAGCGTTGAGGGTAGAAGAAATCTTATTTCTGCGAACTGAGTTTTGGTCTGAAGGACGTACGTTCACACTAGAGGTAAGGGAAGCTTATTTAATTTAATTTGAATTGTATGTTGTTGAACTGTTTGACGTTCGTTTAGTTGATTAGATGATTTTGATGCATGATGGTTGATATGGTTGGATGAATTGAATGTTAGTTTACTTGATGAGATGAAATGAAATATGGCTGAGTTAGGGTATGATGTACGAAATATATGAAACCTGTATGATATGTGATGTATGAGATATGAAGGTTGATTTTGATAGAAAGTTTATAAAGTTTTGAAGTTATGAAGGTATAGGTTGAGAAAACTGATTTGAAATAAATGATTTTGTATATGAGATTATACTATGATAAAATACGTTCGTTACTGGACGGTCATTGACCTTCGGTTCTCCTGTTGAACATAGTTGAAATGGGATTCTTTCATTTGGAAAGAATTCTAGTTGAGGACGAGCGCCTCCCTATTGTAATGTTGTGCTTGAACGATCGGTCAAGCGTAGTTGTCTCTAAATATCCAGTAGTAAACCTAAATTCGGTATCTATATATATATGATTGTATAGGTAGTTGTTTCTAAACACCATTCCTATGATATCTTATTTATAAATCTTTTATTCTGAATTTTAAGTAGTGCTCGGTCTCACACCAAGCATCTCAAAATTTTAATAGTGCTCGGTCTTACACCAAGCGCTCGTATTTTTACAGTAGATCTACCCTGATAAAATAGCGTTCGTCCAATTTCAGAAGAACCTTCCTTTCCTCGTTCGGTCATTTACTGACATGAGATTTCTGTATGTAAATTATTCTAAGTTTGGTCCTTTGACGTCCTAATATGTCCACTTTATTGTCTCGGATCAAGAGTTCCCAGTTCTAGGTATTCTTTGAGTTTCGATTGGAGTTCACGAGAGTCAGTTCATTTAACTGATTCGGGTTGTAGAAGATGTTTGTCACATATTACATAGGGTACCTAATTCCTTTCTAAAGATTTCAGCAAACCCCTTTCGGTAGTATCCTGTTCTAGGACGAGGGAGTTCCTTGCCTCGTTCCAGTCGTTCGTCCTCGTTATGAAGAGGGCTGAACGTTCGGTATTTTTATGTTCTCAGAAATGATTATGAAAATGACACTAAAGTGAAAGGTTTTAAAGGATGAAGAGTTTATGAGATGAATATGAGATTATGAATTTGAACGAGCGTTCCGGGGAGGAACGACTCTTGGATGATATTGAAATTGGTAAAGTATGAATGTGGAAATGCTTGGCTGACGATTCATCTTGATGTTCTATGAGTACTCGTCCTCACGTAGAGGGGGTACGTCATGCGTGGGAACGACAGGAGGTCCTAGTCCTTAGGGGTACTTTGGACGGAACGGACTAACCTCGGGTGGCAGCTGATGAGAATTCCAACTACTACATCACCCGGGTGCACGAACGTCGTAGCTACACAGAATTCATACAGTCCGGACAGTCGATCTAGTATCAGAGTTTTGATTGAATTTGTTTATTGAAATGTATTTGAATGTGCTGGCATATGAAAATGTATGTTATTACTTGAATTAAATTACATAAGCTTACCATGTGTTTTTCCTTGTGTTGTCTCGTTTTGTACGTCCGTCCTTGTCTTTGCAATAATCATCCGTGTGGATGTGAGCAGAAGGAAATACACTGCTGGAAGAGGCGTTGGAAGAGCAATATTTGGAGGAAGAAAACTTAGTCGAAGTCGAGGTGAAAACCGAACAATAGGACATTCAGCTTGTAGTTGGTAAGTGTGGTTAGGTGGCCGTTCGTTCACCTTTTTCTTTAAGTTTTGAATGATCGTTCGGTGTTGGTTTTGTAAACCGTTCGGTCAAAATTTCTCTTATGTTGTACAGTTTTAGTTGGGAAGTTATGTAAAGCCGTTCGGCCATAGCCGTACTCTCTCTTCTAATGGTTAAAACTGACATGTGCTATTATTAATCGTAATTATTCCATTATATGGTTTTATTACTGTATTTTTGAGATGTTACATTATACAATATTAATGTTACGATTACTCTTCTCCTAACCAAAAATTAAGCTGCACTTGTTAAAATAGATAAAACAAACTACTAGAAATAAAAAGAAAATAAGAAAATACCTTCATTAGTGAAAAAAAAATTCAGTTTTGTAAATGCCTTTATCATGTTTTTTTAAGAATATTTAATAATATAATCCGTGTTTGTCATCTCTCTTAATTTTTTAATTATGACATAACTACTAATTCTCTATAATTAATCTATTTTTATCAATAACACAAATATTAAACGTTAATCATAAAAACAATAATATATTTATTAATTAAATTTGACAAAAAATAACAATAATTAATAAGCATCCAGACTGAGGATTGTGTGAATGGAGCTTCTTCTTTCATTCTTCAAATTGAGAACCATCGCCACTCCCTCCACCACCGCTGTTGTGCGAATGAGCTATCACCGCGGAAATGTTGGCGTGGTCGGTTGAATGCCACCATCGGAGCAACGTGACGCCACAGCAGTCGCCGATCTCCTCCTCCACAATCCTTTAAGCTTAATCTATTTGAGCTTAATCTATGTACACTAATTTTTCTTGTGACTTACGAGTTACAATTATCCCCGAGTATAAGAAAGACCTAAAAGATAAAACCTTTATGTTCATCCAGTAAGGAAGCAAATTCACTAGTAATCAACAAAATCCTAAGCATTAGGAAAATATCTGCCTTATGTGATCTGCATGTAGTAATTTCATCTTGCAATCCCAAAACACCAAATGAATCGCTTCAGCAAGAATCACTAAAAGAGACAAGCCCATCTTCCTCAACTTTGTCAACTGATGTAGCATGTAGCATAGTGTATTGCATCGCACATAATCCTAATCTGTCTAGAAAATAATGATCTAAGGTCAAACGTACAGTGATTCCATTTTTCTTTAAGGCTCTAGATGACTTTGAATGCCATCAGACAAAGAAAGAGATGACGCATTGTTTCTGCTGGGTAATGGTGTATTCTTTCGGGACTGGCGTTTTGTGCGCACAATCGCACTTTCGGTTTCAAAGTCCATACTCAGTATCTCCTCATCATCAGTGTCGTCGTCCATGCTGTCCTTAAAAATTGGATGAGCATAGGCATTTTGAAGATAACCTTTCAGATTCAAGTTAGGTTCTATTGCTCGTTCTAATGTATCTTTCATCATTGCTTCCTGCATAAGTAGTTCCGACAACATTAAAATTACATGAAATGGGAAACTAGAAATATAGATGTACGTTGATAATCTCGTAGGGAGCTTGGATACCAAGTCCAAATTGATTTACAAGATACATGGTATCTTCAAACCAATTTTAGTTTTAGATTAAACTAAGGTGGTGATAGTTTGAGGATCAGTCATGTAAGTCCACTTAATTAGATTTGTCTTAAAAAAGATTGGCAGGTAGCAAAGTTGTTCAACAAATATACAAGCCACTCTCCAAAAATTGTAACAGGTAATTGAGACTTCACAATGAGATGTTGGGACAACATAATTTGTTTTATCATGAAATCTGACACACTACATTTCATCTAACCTATGCCATGTCACCATTGGTCGGAAAGAGGCAAAAGGACATCCTATAGAACAGATGGAATAATATATTTCCTGTTTCAATCATGTCTAACAAACAAACAGACAGAAGTAGAAACCAGGACTCTACGATCAAATATTAGTGCAAGCACTTCAAGAAATTACTAGGCCCAAAGGACAAATCCACATACCTGTAAGGGAAATTTGACAAATGCAGATTCAAAACGGCCTTTGCAGTACCTATGGAACCATATGGTTAGTATTGGGAGAACAATGAGAAAAGGAGTCGATGAAGCAGCTTTCTTGGTGGTGAGAAGCCCCATCAGAACTATCTGTGAGACTATCAGTGCAAAAATGATACGGAAATGGACATCAGGCCAGAATGCTGCGCCACTCTCATACTCCTGATTGTATACGTTAATGATCTGCATTCGGAAAAAAAGTACAAGGTACAGGTCATTACCACATATGAACAACGGAAAAAAGTGATGCAGATATTTAGTTATGATAAGATTGAAGTTGAACACATTCTGACTTATTGAAAGAAATGTTCTGGGTGATCAAGTTAACTAGTTCTAAAACACTAATTAGAAATGCCCCACAACAAGTTATAAGATAATCATTGAGACCTACAGACACAAGGGCATTTGGAACTCTTTTCTCCCTATGGACAAGTTAGCCAATTACCTCAAGATCAAGAAGAGTCTGATAGGTTCAGAGACTAGAAGGAAAACTATAATTTAGTTACTATATGACAGACAGTTCTAACTGTATGTAGTTAGTTGCATCTGACTTCTATAAAGTGGCTTACCTAAGGTGCAAGGGATTTTATAAGTGGCTTACCTAAGGTCTAAGGGGAGGATACTATTTTGGTAGTGGGGGATCGCTTAACCAAATATGCCCATTTTATACCCTTGGCTCATCCTTTCACAGCCGAAGAAGTTGCCCATTTATTCATCAAAGATATTGTAAAGCTTGATGGTTTTCCCTCTACTATTGTATCTTACCGAAACAACATTTTTATCAGTAGGTTTTGGCGTGAATTATTCAAGAAGGCTGGCACTACACTCAAATCAGATGGCCAAACTGAAGTGGTGAATCGTTGTCTGGAGACATATTTGCATTGTATGACAGAGTCACATCCTAGGAAATGGCCTAAATGGTTACCATGGGCTGAGTTTTGGTTAAATACTAATTATAATGCTTCTATCCGTCTGTCTCCTTTTAAGGCTCTCTATGGCCGTGACCCTCTTTTATTGCTAAAAGGGTCTACCATTCCATCCAAGGTCCATAGTGTGAATTCAATTGCAATAGGAAAGAGATGACATTCTGCACGAATTAAAAGCAAATCTGTATAAAGCACAAGACTAGAACTGCATACAAGTCAACAAACGTCGTCATCAGGATGCGGCGGAATTCCAGGTTGGAGATTGGGTTTACCTCAAGTTACAACCTTATAAATGGCAATCCTTGGCTAAACGCCCTAACGAGAAGCTTAGCCCCAGATTCTATGGTCCTTATGAAGTGGACCAACGCATAGGGATTGTTGCCTACTATTCAACCAATGTTCAACTTCTTCCTTATGCTTTGACTGAAGATCTTATGTTAGAAGTTCAGCCAGAATCAGTGCTAGATGTTCGTACTTCTTCTTCTAGTGCCTTGGAAGTTTTGATTCAATGGCAGAATCTTCCATCCATTGAAAACAGCTGGGAGGATGCTACTATTGTTGCTAAGGAGTTCCCTACTTTTCCCCTTAAGGACAAGGTGAAACTTCATGGAGGGGATATTGATAGGTTCACAAGGAAGGTTTACACTAGAAGGAAAACTGTAATTTAGTTACTATATGACAGACAATTTTAACTGTCCGTAGTTAGTTGCATCTGACTTCTATAAAGTTAGAATGGACAGTTTAGCCGTTATTATCTTTGTTTGTAATTTGTAAAAGGTTAATGTGGGAGAGTCTGGTTGTCTCTAATAACCAGAAAGTTGTATGTTGTTTGGGTCCTTTCTCTAGAGGAAAAGTCAGTGATATTATAATACGTTTTACAGTTTAATCACAAGTATCATTTGTGTAGGACTGTAATA